AATAAAATTAAAAAAAAAAAATACTACCAACTTATTATTTAAAAAAAAAAAAAAGTTGCAAAATGCAGAAAAATATAAGAAAGGAAATTTAAATTGCCCACAGTCACAGTCTACAAGAACCACTATTGATACTCTAGGCAATTTTCATTCCATAGATTGTTCCGTTTCTTAACTGAAATTTGGTGGTGGGTGTGGTTTCATGAATGAGGAGCAGAAAGAGAAACACAACTTCATTCTTCCCCTCAGGTGCAGAAGGGTTCCAGCCATGATCCACTGTCTTTCCTCCGTTCCCTTCTAACAGCCCTCTACTAGCCAAGGTCAATCCTTGACCATCTATAGCTAGGCCCAATGGAGGGAAGGTCATACAGCAACCACCTCTGTGGTCTCTAGTATGGGCTACTATGTTAAAGAAAAGTGTACCTTTGGCTTAGGTGCCCTCAATCCTCTCCTCTCCTCAGCCAGTGTGGACCTATATATTTGTCAATTCTTGTTGCATGAAATGTTGTTGTTGGTCAATTGCCATTAAGTCAATTCCAACTCATAGTGACCCCATGTTGAGTAGAATTGCTCCATAGGGTTTCATAGGCTGTAATCTTTGTGTAAGCAGATCACCAGGTCTTTCTCCTGTGAAGCTGCTGGATGGGTTCAAACTGCCATCCTTTCACTTAGCAGGTGAGTGTTTAACATTAATCCACCAGTGCTCCTTGATGCATGAAATAAATCCTAAGAATATTGGTGGCTTACAACAACAGTCATCTGTCCTTGGCTCCAGATTATGAGTCAGATTCAGGTAGTTCCACATGTCTCTTAGGGTCTTACTGAATGGCAGCTACCTGTGGTATATTCTTCTCATGCTGAATGCCAAGAGTGAAGGAGAATGAATGGGAACACATGATGCCTTTTAATTCCTCTGTTCAGAACTAACACACTGTCTCTTCTACCCACATATTATTGGCCAAAGCAAGTTATGTGGCCATACCCAGCACAAATGAGGCAAGGAAATAAACTCTACCCATTCCAAGAGAGTTACTTCAAGTCACCTGAAAGTGGGCATGGTTGTATTCTGACTCAGAGAGGAAGGGAAGAATTGGGAACAATGGTCAGATCTTCCTCAGTATGGACCTCTAAGTCATTCAGGTGTGCTGTATTGATCCCCAACTCTAGCCAGACTGATTCTTCACTGGAGATCCAAAGACACCAAATATGTAATGATCCCTGTACCTTTGTAGTGGTCCCTGGGTAATGCAAATGGTTTGCACTTGACTACTCGCCTAAAAATGGGTGGTTCTACTCACCCAGCAGCACCATGGAAGGCCTGGTAATCTGGTTCTGTGTGGATTACAGCTACTGAAACCCTATGGAGCATAGTTCTGCTCTATAACACATAAGGTCATCATGTGGTGGAATTTACCCAGTGGCAAAGGGTTTGGTGTTTTTGTTTTGATGCCTTTGTACATGCTTATCCTCTTACCTGGAATATCACCCTTATTCCTTTCCCTTATCTGAATATTGAACATCTTTCAAGACCTCGTTCAAACTTTGACCTCTGTAAAGTCTCCCTTGACCATCTTTGCCCAATAGTGATTTCTCCCTCTCTGAAGACCTATAGAACTGGGCTCATTTTTAATTTATGCAGTATTTTATACATCTTGCATATCCATACATACATAGTCATCTGTCTATCATCCATATTTATTTTCTCAATATGATAGCAAGCTTCTGAAAAATAGGAATATTTTACATATAGGGCATACTCAGAAATATTTATTTATAGACTGGTAACTGCTTCATTTACTCTTTACTCCAAG